TGTGTGTGTATATGGATGTGTATATATACGTGTGTGTGTACGTTTAGTTTTGTTTTTTTAACCATTTAGTTTAGTTATTAAATAAGTATTTAAATAAAATAATAGATGAATGCTATAAAAATGCTCACCTCAAAAGTGTCTCTTGTCAATCAAGTTTGAATGTAAGCTGTTGGCGGTAAATTGTCCCAATGATTCTACAGAAATAAAACATGGAAGAGCTCAAGCCACAGGTCATGGTTGCAAAACTATTTAAAAATAAAATAAAAATAATTCTCATAAAAAACATTTCAGCTGAGAAACAAACATGAGCCAGAAAGCACAACGGAAAAAAACAGAGAGGAATTCTGGATCATTAAACATTTTGAAATGTTTCATAAAATGACCGACAGCGATTACTGATTGTTTAATCTTTAATCTAAAATTAGGTAATTGTATTTTTTTTTTATGTAAACAAAGGCGCATTGTGTGCTCGATGGCGCCCCCTGCGTGCGTCTGCGTGAGTCTGCGTGCGCACACAGCGTCTGTCAAAACAACCCAATGACTCTCAATCTCAACTATGTGAAGACATTCAAGTTCAGGTAAAAAAATTAAACATCACAGAACTAATTCCTGAGTTATAAATACGATCAGAGAACGACAAGCTACTTTAGATGTCCGTGTGAGAATGAAAACAGGCCTAACATAAACACCTGAGGCACACCCATGTTTTATCTTTTTTTTTTAACATAGATCATAACGCGGAGTGAAGCGATTTAACTAAAAAGTTTTTTTTTCTATTATGAATCTATTAATAAATAATTTAAACACGTTGTGCTGTTTATTTGCGGTTGTCTAGCTTTACTCCAACGGCGACTAAAATGTAAATCGATTATTTTAAAACGACTAGACAGTCAATTGACTTCTTATGTCACTTAAATAGTTTAAATGAATTTTCTTTTATAAACCACGGTAACTGCGTCCAGCTGGAGCAGCGCTTTATTAAACTGACAGCGAGCCAGTGACGTCATGGAATCAAAGTACAGGAGCGAGCAAACAAAGGGCGAGCGATGGAACAAAAACCGTTAAAAATCAAACGTTCGCTAAAAAAGTTTTGCCGCGGAACTGACAGCTGTCATCGCGTAGTTTTCGAAGCAAGTAACTCTAAAGTAAATATTATTAAACGAGAACAAACAGCGCAACAGTGTTGCGTTATAATACAGAAAACGGACGGCAAAAAAGAAAAAAAAAATCCTGTGAAATTTGAGTTGAGCAACTGTATTCCAAAAACAGCTCGCGATAGTCGCCACAACATGCGCTTTCCCGATTTCCAAAAGGAAAAGCTTGACATACACCAGCAAGAAAAGTACAACAGAACACAATAAAGAATAGAGATGACACTCACCCTTTTCTTTTTATTATTTCTTTTCCTCGGCTGTTTCGGATTCAGGGTCTGTGCGTGTTTTTGTAGAGGTTGGCGATAGCTCATGTTAACCATTGTTCTGCTGAAGTCACCGAGTGTGGATTTCGGAAACTCCCGGGAACATTTATAGAGTGACTCCAACCGAACTCTGGGGGGAGGAGCTCAAGGCGCAACCTAATGGAGATTATGAGAAACTGACAGGAGATGGTCGGTAGCGTGGACCAATCGCGCGAGGCGGTGGAAATTCTTCTGCTTAGAGACATCCAATCAGCAGCCGCGCTGGGCGGGAGGGGCGGGACTTGATGACTTTGCTGGTTGTCTCGCTCCGCGAGAGTTTGTGTGAGCAGGAAGATGTGATGCAGTCATAAGACGGCCAGGACGAATTTGGGGCGTAAGGGAGTCACATGAAAGGAATGATGCAATCGTTGGCAACCGGTTTCTAGTTGGAGATAAGACTAGCAGAGCACCAGCATGTTTTATTAAACAACCTTTCGTTAAACAGAAAAAAGTGGCGAGCTACCTTATAAGGATGTAGGAAAATGTTGCTTGCGTTCGCGTATGCGTCTATAAAGATATGCAACGTTAATATCCGCGGTCCATTTGTTCGCTCTTTTTTCATGCATTTGTTTCCAAATGCATCCAGTTCAGCACTATAGAATGAGGATATTCCATAGGAGCACCTCACACATTTCACTCCAGACAACAGACGCAATCCGTATAAACAATACAGACACTGCATCAAACAACTAAAATACGCGAATGGTTAAACTATATCACGTTACTGTTCAACACACCTGATTACCAAAGGAGCCCATAAAGTGACGTTGAAATGGTAAAGGTCAATAGATTAGTTTTTAAGACTTTAAACTGTCCATATAGTATTTTTCCCCAACATGGATCATATAGCCTACATAGGGCACTTAAAAGTGTGAATGTTTCAAAACATTATGCAAGTTTTCAGAATGCTGCCATTTGGTTATCCAATTTAATTACAGGTATTAGTGTGCTGACATAACATTCTAATTGCTTTTAAATGATATGCTTTATTGCGGTGACCTGTAAAATGTCCACGGAAACAATGTAACCGTCTTAAAGACATATTTTCCCAACATGGATCCTATAGCCTAGACATGGGGAACTCCAATGTTTCAAAACATTCCAGTTTTCAGAATGCTGTTATTTGGTTATCCAAAGTAATTACTTAAAGCACTATTTTAATGGCTTCATATTGTCCGAGAACCGCCCTAAATGTACAGCACATAGTATTTTTCCCAACGTGGGTCCTATAGCCTAGATAGGGCACTCAAAGTTTCAAAACATAATTTTCAGAATGCTGGTTGTCCAAATGTAGCATGTGTACAACATTCTGTTGGCATTTAAATTAAATATTTCACATAGTGACCTGCAGCTTGTCCAGGATTTCATCTGAACCCATAGAAACGCCCTAAAGACAGTATTTTCCCAACATGGAGATCATAGGGCACTCGAAAGCGTGGATGTTTCAAAGCAATATTCCAATTTTCAGAATTCTGTCAATGTTTATCCAAAGTAATGGTTTGAAAAAGAACACGTAGCACTGTTTTAATGGCTTCAGGTGTTGATCTGTGTCGGAGAACCGCCCTGAATATGTTTCCCAACATGGGTCCTAAAGCCTAGATAGGGCACTCGAAAGTGTAGACGTTTCAAAACATGTGAACCTGGATTTAATCTGAACCCATGGATCCACCCTAAAGAGAGTATTTTCCCAACATGGGTAACCTAGACTGTTGTTGTGCTGTAAACGTTCTCAACTTCCACGGTTAACCAAATAATGCTCAGATTCCACTGTTCATCTAATCACGTTGTATGATAAATCCAAATAAAATTATGTGAATCAGTTTACACCAGTTTAATTGCTTTAAAATTATATAGTTTATTAGGTACAGCATGGGCTGACCTCTAAACATGTCCAGGATTTAATATGAACCCTAAAGAAAAAGTATTTATTTAGTTTGAGTAGTTAAGTAGCCTAATTACATGGATGTAAAAAAAATACTGCTCAGATTTCACCATTGGTCCCACTGTTTAATTGCTTTAAATGGCGTGTTTTATTAGCTATGTCACCAGGCTCTGTATTCTGAAACTCTTCCAAACACAAGAGTTGAGTAGTTAAACTTGCATGGTGCAAAGCGTGCAATGTATTGCCTAGCAACAGCGCAAGTGGGATGCGCGTAAGGTTAGCGAATAGAAAGCTCGAATACTGTTTCCAGGAGCTCGCGCTGAGACGCTACTAACACGTCACGATCGGCTGGCTGTTGCTGTGTAGTCTCCCCGCTGCCTAACGGTTATCACCTTCTATTGGCAGGTTATGCTTTTATTCAACAAAGTTGTGTTTACTCGACATTCCTTTGAACAGGTTTAACTCTCAATAACTCCCAAACTTTCGGCCTTCAACGCAGTAGGAGGTTGATCCGATTTATATTTCTAACTCGCACCTAATGTTTATATCGTGCTCAGAAACATCTCCTCAGAATATGATTTCCTACATCTTTCCTCCACGCTAAGTAGGTTTTATCTGCGATTCCCTCAGTAATTATACTTGCGGGTTTTCTCGGCTAACTGACACAATAAGGCCAATAAAGACATGCGTGTGTGGAATCATCATTGTATGGCAAGACTAACGGAAATATCTTTCTCTCAGGATATTCTCACTTCGATCAAATATTGCGCATTTGCAGATTAAGTTCACGAACATCTAATGTTACCACAGACCGACTGGATTTAATTTGAATGGTAGTTTGAGGCTGATCGTAAATTCGGGAGCGGGAAAAACCGTTAACATTGTTTTTACCTTAAATAATTAAAACACGACTGATCGATATTTTATTTGGGTTTTAATGTTATATAAATCATGAATGTTGAGAACTACGTTTATATCGTTTGAAGTTATTGACATGACGAGAAGCGGTTTCTCAAATTCGAATCGAACGTCTGAATGAAAACCCTCTTTGTAGTGACGTAACACACGACAGTTTACAGATTTATTTCACATTACACAAATATTGTCATTCTAAAACAATCCCAGCACTTACAGAAGTCCACCTATTTATTTTCGTACTAGGGTGCGTTTTTCTCAGTGCGCAGTTCTCGCGCTCCTCCTAGTGGACGTGGAATTGTGTGGAATTGTACGGAATTCCCGACCCGACAGGCAGCAGCTACTGCGCATGCGCGGACTAAAACTCCATGATTTTTTTTGTTGGCACGGGATCCTAAGGAAAAATAGGAACTTGGAAACGGAGATCAACTAAAAGCGCCCTCACAAAGACTTAAAGCAACCCCTCGCTCGCATACGCACTCAGAAAAGACGCTTAGGAGGGCGCCGAAGCGTTGAATGAAGCGATCGCACGCTCCGCGGCCGAGCAGGCTTCACACGAAATTGGACAACAATGCACGGGGCGCAATAAAACCAAGCGTTATTGCTCTTTGTTTTTAAGCAGGACGGCTCGGATGATACGCGGGGATGAAGTGGCTTAAAACCACACGGCGTTCATAACAGCTCCAGCAACGGCGACATTTGCGACTCAGTCCGCTTGTTCAGTCTTCAGTCAGCGCCGAAGAAGCAGGAAACTTCGTAAACACAGAGGTACGTAGCACGCGAGCTAAAGAAAGCTAACAGCGCGTCTACGCGACGCGACAAACTAGACCGATTCGTTGGTTATAATCGCGGTGTTATTACGTGTCCAGTAAGCTTGCAATACAAATAGGATGTTTAAGAATGGGCCAGCTAGCCGTCAATACGCGACGTTTGTTTATTCTTCGGGACGTTCGGTGTTTAAAAGCACCAGTGCGATACTCAAGTAAGTACATACCTATTTTCGTTCCGTATTCAAGTCCTAGTTTTCCCGAAACTTTGCGTACTTTTATTCGTGGTGGTTTGTTTACTCTTTAGCGCGCTGCTCCAGCGTTAGCCGCTTCACAATCACCCGCCTTTGTGCCAGAATAAAAACCGTTAAAATGAAATGGTTTAGGCGGTGACATCATCTCGATAACTTAAATTTGAATTTTTGCGTTGGCGCGCTGAGTATTAGTTTCAACTGTCACTTTTCACGCTACTGTCAACCAACCATATGTCAAGAGTTGTAACGTTACACTGACAACAAAGTACCGGGTTTTGGACTTGTACCCTACTAGTACTATGGTATTTAGTGCCAGAGACCATGGTACATTAATATGATGATGAAATAGTATCTTGTATATCAATGTAGTCGACATTTCTATCTTTGTTTTCCATATTTGTATTGAAAATGGTTATAAACCGTTTATATTCTGTACTCGGAATATGTCGATGTCATCTGAAATATATTTTTCTTTACATTTTCAGATTGTCAGCTTCTGGAGAGTTTCACAGGAGCATCCCAGTCCATTTGAGAGGAGCGGAGAGGATTGTGTGTCAAGATAGATTTGTTGTTGTATTGTGTTGTGCTTCGTTAATGCTGCATAAATGTCCTCCAAAGAGTGTATTTCAAGATTGGTGCTGACCAAGGCTGTATGAAAATGAAAAGGTACTGTATGAAGTTGCAGAATGTCGTAACATCGTACATACTGCAGTCTTGGAGTGACAAATGCATTTATTAAATGTAAAGAATACGCATGAACCCATTGTGCATTTGAACCCATTTTACCTAGTTAAGGGTTAGCTTTTTTTTTTTTTTTAAACAAAACTGAAATGTACACACTCCACTGATTTTATGTAAATATAGTTGTCACTACATGATCTGTTCTTTATGGATGTACAGTGGGTACGGAAAGTATTCAGACCCCCTTAAATTTTTCACTCTTTGTTATATTGCAGCCACAGAATAGTCACAGATTAAACGCTCAGAAGTGGAGTGACAACTGTATTTAGATGCAGTATGGACATATTTTACAACTGAAAATAGGTGTGAAGTGCGAGTCAAATCTGGTTTGAAACTGAATCTGGTTCATCAAATCTGGTTTGAATCTGAATCGGGTTAATCAAAGTATGGTTGGAAACTGAATCTGGTTAATCAAATCTGGTCTGAATCTGAATCGGGTTCATCAAATGTAGTTAGAAACTGAATCTGGTTCAGCAAATATGGTTTGAAACTGAATCTGGGTCATCATGTGGGTTTCAAATATGGTTTGAATCTCAATCATCTTTGAAACTGAATCTGGTTTTTCAAATCTGGTTTGAATTTCAATCATG